AAATGATCTGTATGACTGAGTTCATCACCTGAGTACAGAAAAAAAATCATCTATAAAAATAATCACAAAAGTATCCAAAAAAATCTTGAAGATCCTGCTCATCAGATCCATAAAAACTGTTGGAGCATTAATCTGTTCAAAGGACAGCATCACGACTTCATAATGCTCATATCTGATCCTGAAAACTGTCTTGTTATGTCTTCTTCTTTAATCCTCAGTTCCTGATAGTCTGACTTCATATCAATCTTTAAGAAAACAAAGGTCCCTTCCAAATGATCAAACAAATCGTCAATCCTCGACAATAGATAATTGTTTTTAACTGTGCGCTTATTCAACTATCTGTAATTAATGCACATCCTGAAGCTTTCATCCTTCTTCAAAAATAATATTGAAGCTCCCCAAGGTGAGGTGTTAGATCTGATGAACCCCTTATCTAGCAATTCCTACAATTGACTCTTCAACTCCTGCAGCTCTTTAATTATCATTGTGTAAAGTGCCTTTAATAAAGGCTTAGAACTGACAAGAGCTCAATGGTTCAATCAATCTCCCGCGTTGGTGGCTGCACTGGTATATCATCAAGGAAGACTTCTGGATATTCTCTTACCATCAGAATATTGCCCAAAGACTGTACTTCCTTGGAGGTGTGCGTTACCTGAGCAAGAACATGATTTTCACGATTCATAAATTAGAATGATTTTGTACAGGTAATTATTATAAATATCAATACTCTATTACTTGAAAATCTAATTTCTGCACCATAGGACATTTATTTTGACAGTTTTTTTCAATCATTAATGACAGTTTTTAGACATCCAATTCATACCTAAAATCACCCCAAACTCCACGAAAGGTAACACAATAAGTTGTGCATCAAAACATTTTTCACCAATCATTAACTTCACCTCAAATGAATGATTAACTTCTAAAAAAGTATCATTTAACATTCTAACTGATAATATCACAAACATAGAAAGGATATCCAATCGCATCCCTTTAACAAGTTCATGAAGTATTAAAGTGTGATGCGCCTGAGTCAAAAAATATTCTTATCGGCCTACTCTGAAGATATATGATACATATCATTAAAATCATAACGATGACTATTTAATCAACTTATTAATATATTTAAATTCTTAATTTATTTTATACATGACATGCATGAATTCTAAGATTAAAGGTGCACTAGGTTAAAATTATTGAAAGCAAAACATATATGTGACAACATCAGGAGAGTCCTTAGCTTCTTGCCGCGGAAGTGTATATACTCTATGCTAGACATTCTGCTGAGTTTGTTCTGCATTTAGCACTGATCCTGAAGATTCAGTTGCCCTTGGTTTGCCAAAACTCTTCTGAGATGGAGCAGCACTGCCCCTAAAATCTGTTGAAGCCCTTCGTCCTAATCTAGGGCAGTTCCTCACCATATGTCTTGGCTATTGGCACAAAAGAGCAAGTGTAAGCCTTTGTGAGACCATCGACACTTGTCACATATCTTGACCTCAGTTCTTACTGCCAACATTGATGGATCTGGCCTTTTGAGCACTGTTATTCAATGACTAGAAGGACTGTCTGCCTTGAAAGCCCTGAGAAAACCTGGATCTCTCTCAATTTCTCCTCTTCTAAAAGTTCCTCCTTATCTGAGAAGCTTCTAAATCCAGATCAATCCTCCTGCCCTCTCCACCATAACAGAATAATCATTGATTCCAAAAGGAATCATCCATGAGGAATCAATGGCTGCCTAATCACATCATTTAACCCAGATAAAAATTGGCGACACTTTTCCTCTCCATTTGAAATTAACCGAGGCACATATCTTGAGAGCATAGTGAATTCTGTCTAGTACTCGATTATTGAACGATCCCTATACTAGCCGAATAAACTTATTATGTATTTGTCTCCCGACTGTCAGTGGTACAAATAAATCTCTAAAAAATGCTTCCAAACTTGTCCCACTGAATTCTATGGCCGACTCTACCCCTATATTTCTTCTATAATTGTCCTCATCATCATCTCTCCACTTCTCCCTCTAAGGCAAACGTGGCTACTCTCCGGAGGACAAGACAATCCATTTAAGATATTATTCACCCTCAGTAGTCATTTTTCAGCATTCACCAAACATCCCCCTCTAGCAAAGAGAGGTGATCTCATATCCTAAAATAATATCAAATATTTATCCATGTGACCTCCCAGATTGAAACTGCCCTGAGTCTGAGATTTGCTAATCAATTGAGTCACCGCAACCATCATCTCTAAAAAAACATCTATATCCACATTAATCTGCAGAGGTGGATTAACTTCTACCACATCATCTCTAACTTTGTCCCTTTGAGTTTTCATATTTCTGAAAATAACATAAAAAATATTATAGTTAGACATACTTTAGCCCTATATTAAAACAACTTATAAATTAATTTAATCATCTTAATGACTCTTTTTTATCACGATCCAACCTAGTTGCTCTGATGCCACTTTTGACCTGATAGCATAAAATTTGGTGAAAATATTTAAATAACTATTTGTGGATTTATAAAATCTTCTAATATTTAAAAAAACACTAAAATCCACAAAGTGTTATAAAATCAAAACATCCAGAAACATCAACATAATCTGAAGATAATATCTCAAGCCAGTACTGAACATTATATCGCTACCTGAAAAAATAGTACAAAAAAACTACTATGAATACCTACCTAGCAACGGTGGTCCTCCTGTAAACCAAGCCTCTCCTACTAGACATATCAACCTAATTTTTTTCTTCTTCCTGGTAGAGACAATTAAATTCAACAATAAGTTTGAGTTAGCGAGTAATTCTAATCTTAATATGCATTAAATTATTATGTCATGCTATGCATGAATGGAAAAAAAAATGTATTTCATTACTTTATAAAATGTAAACTTTCACTTTATTTTGATTATTTCCCGTTTCACTTTAAGTATTTATTATTTTTATCATTGTAAGACTCATAACAAGATTATCATCATATTAGAAGGTATCATCAAATATATACCCGAAGATACCCCCGAAAATTGTACCCATAGGTACCCTCAAAATATGCACTCAAAGGTACACATTATTTACTTTAACGTGGATGGGTATATCATATCCCCTACCAGTACCACATGGGGGCAATCATGTATGAATTTTACATTTGATTTTCTTTTAAGTGTATTCTTATTAAGACATTGAACATTCATTTTTCCTTTTTCTCATTTTATTTCCTTCAATTTTCATGCTCACCAAAATGCATATAATTCTAAAATAACTGTTTAAAACATTAAAAAAATTCTTTGTTAAATAATCATTAATTTAAAACATATAAAAAAATAATTACTCACATTGACCTAATAAACCTCTGAAAAAATTTTCACTTCCTTTGACTAACACCTAAATCAAATAAAGGTGCATATAACTATAAGAACCACATCCTAAAAAGTCTAAAATGTAGTTAACTTATTTAAATATGTAATAATGAGTAAAAACACAAACCTCTTTTAACTTTAAGATTCTTTTCCTTCATCAAATCCAGAAAATTTATCAGGTTTCTACTCACTTTCAAATTACATAAAAATTTAATAATATTAGTTTAAAGAATTATATTATTTGTTCTAATAAGAATATAACAATAATATTTACTTGATAAGTTTCTCAGATCGATCTCCTTACTCGCTCACACGCTCCTCTAACTTCTCCTTCAAATCTAAATTCACTATTTGTTTGGAGTACTGATTTAAATAAAACTTCCCATTAATATTATTATTAAACATACATTCAAATATATATATATATATTATTAATTACTTTATTAAAAAACTTAACTTGCGCCAAAGGTTTCCTCCACCTTCGATCTCTGCACGCGAGCACGCCACGAAGGTTTCCTTCTTTCGACTTCTCCTTTTTCTTTTTCCTTGCTCTCCTTTGCATGGTACCTACGCACAAAGTCGTGGCTTCCTCCTTCTCAACATTGATAAGCTAGGGCTCAACACAGGATAGCACGTGTGGTCTTTCTCCATCGTCCACTTCTTCTCTTCCTTCTACAATTGCTTCTCATCTCTTAGTTATGATAATTCGAAAGGTGATACTACACTTATGTCGTAACCGAAAAAGTTTCAATTTATTATTATTACTTTTTTATTTCAGTTATTATAATGATAGGAATTTTTGACAAATAATTTTATCTTTCAAATTCATTCTAACTAGTAATTTCTAACTATTTTCTAAATAGTTTTATGTATATATACCAATTTAGGGAACAAGCCAAATAAGTTTACAAGCCACTTCCCTTCTATAAATAAGCTTTCATGGAAATTTATTCCAATCAATTAAAATCACTCCTTAATCGGTAAATTCAACATTTTGGTTAAAACCAGCTATATGTATACATTGTGCTGCCATTTCAGGTGAGCAAATATGCAGTATTTCATAAATAGGGCCTATTATAGTAGACTGTGGGTAACATTTTCTTTGTGAAGGTAATGTTTGAAACACATGCTGCAGAAATATAGTCTTGGATTTAGGCTGTGGGTTGCATATGGTGTTGTATCAAAGAAGATGTTTGGCTCAATTGTTAAGCAGAGGAATAAAATTCAGCTTGGCTATTATAAAGAAAATAGGAAGTTCGACTTAACTATCAACTAGAGAAGAAGTTCGCCTCAACTATTAAATTAAGGAGACAAACTTGAGAGGTAGCTTGGCGAGCAAATTCATGAAAAGAAATGTAAGAATCCAAATGCAAACAACAAGGTCACACAAAATTATCAACTTTTCCCTGAGTTCACCCATTTGATTGAACCTGGTAATTCAAGCATCATGCGTGTGCTATTTTTTAGTAAGTATTTTACGTGTGTAAGAGAAAGAATCATACGGTTCCAATCTCTGGGTTTCAAACATCAATCATAGACTTCCGATCAAACTAAGAGAATTTGATATGGATTGCTTATGTCTTAAGTTACTGTAGAAATTCAGGAATATAAAATCAGACAGAATATGTGGTGATGCAAATTACCTTTTCTGTGATCCTAGCAGTGATGTCTCTTGCCGTTTTGACCACTGAAGCAGGCAGACCAGCAACTCCAGCCAATAAAAGGCCATAGTGTGGTACGTGAGTCAGCCCATCCCGCAGATGAAACTGATTAACAAAGTACATTAAGTTACTGGAGATTAGCTTGCTATATATTCCCACTTCAAATCAAAATGCCAACAATTCACCTTAAAATCTAAGTGGTTGTTCCTCAAGTCAACTTCAAAATGGAGGACCTTTACATTTGGATATATGTCTGCAATCTCAGATAAAGCTTCCATATGTGTTGCAAAAATAGTATAACTGGCAAAAAAAGTACCAAAAAATCACACTTCCAACTATCAAATAGAAAAAAAAAATAGATAGACCTTACAACAGAGGAAACTTAATGAAGACGGGAACCAATTTGATCTATTAGCACGAAAAGATGGTAAATTTGTGATGTCTGGGAAAGCAATTTGATTCTTAAGCATGAAAAGATGTCCATACAAAAGGAAAAGTCCTTGAAACTCCCAGGCCATTGGTAAGATGGAGACATATCAAGATTAGAATGCTGTTACAGCAACAAAATGCTGTGAGAACTTTGTTATGCAAAGGACAAAATAAACATTCCACAAAATTCAACATTACCTTTGTATACAAAAATCCTAAATTGTAATGTCAATTCCTTTGAAATCAATGATTATGCTCTAATGGCCAGAGGCTATTATAGGAGCCTCCAGCCACCCCTAATGTGCCTAAGAATTCGAGTACCACCTCCGTAAGGTCAACTGTGCCAGAGGAATATATATAAGGCAGACAATAGTTTAATCCATTCTAATAGAAAAAAAAAAGTATAGAAAAAGATTAAGGATAAAAAGAAGTAGTGAGTCACTACGCCTTCAGAGAGAGAAGATATTCACAGCAGCTCCATGCTATTGCAAACCCATCAAAGGTAGAAGTAGACCTTCCAAGTTCATCAATGACAATAAGACTCCTAAATAGAAAACATAAGAGAATCAGGCAATGCAATAGCATATCATGCATGAGACTAATCTACAGTGATGTATAAACCTTGCTGTGACATTTTGCATGAGGAAAGATGTCTCTTTCATTTCGTTCATAAACTGCATGCAAGAGTAAGACAATCAATATGTGGAACCACATGCCTCCAAAATACATACACGTAGAAAGAATCCCAGTGCATATATATAATATATGTACATATATGTGTTCCGTATATGCAATTGAAGAAAAAAAAAATTTTCCACATGCGAAGTATGAAGGCAAAAGATATGTGTGTTTATTTTTATATTTTTCTAAGTAGCATGAAAAAAAGAAGATATTTGAAGACAATTGCGTAAGTTCTATTTGCTAAAACACTTGAATCTAAGGATTTGATCGATATTTTCAAGCCTAAGCATGCAAGTGGACGAACAGAACAAGTGAATTTGGGTGCAAAAAATGCCTAGAAGAGCCAGCATTTAGTAAATAGGTAACATTGATGTATCCATGCTTTATTTGCTGAATTCATCCTTATGTAGAAGCTTGAAAATAAAATTAGGATGATGAAAAAAATTTAATATGCACTTGGAGGTATGACATCATGGCTACATGCGCCCATATTTGCTAATGAACTGTACGTGAAAGCAGGATTTTGGAAAACAATTAAGGATGACAAAAGTGGTAATTATCAGATACCTAAAAAACAGATCAAGCAGAAGTTCTAGCATTGAATATGAGAACATGTGAAGGCTACACACCCTATATATATATATATGATGGCGTCGTCTTCCTCGCTCGGCTCTGCTAGGATTTCGCCCGATGGCGAACCTTAGCAACAGTTACGACTTCGTTGTTTCCTCTCGGCGTCTTCGCGCTCAATTCCGTTCATCTCCCCCGCTTCTTCTCCAGCTCTGAGACGAGGATCGTCTCCCATCTTCCTGTCTCGCGAGCTTTCCTTGCTCAAGATTTCCAGGCGCTGCGGCCCGTCTCGCAGGTACTGCTCGCGTGTTCTGCGGCTCAGTCCCGTGGGCACTGCTCATGATTTCTGTGTTCTCTGCGCTCGTCCCGCCTCACAGCGTCCTCCACCTTTTTAGCTCCAGCTATCTCGACGCGATTTTTTCCCTTGTCTGTTTTCATCTCTGAACGTCGCACCTATCTTTGAGGATTGCTTCGGACAAATCGTATGCAAGTGCCCTTTCCGGTGTCTACGCCTCAAACACACCAAAATCGTCATCTTTCCCTCTTTTGTTAGAGTAGGCGGAGGATATCAAGAAACCTGATAGGAAGAATGGGAAGTCTGCCATCTTTTTTACAGAAGCTGAAGATATTCAACTTGATTCCTCCTGTCGTCTGAATTTGGTTGGAATTGGTTGGACTCCTGTCGTCTGAATTTGGTTGGAAAATTTCTATATGATCATCCCAAAATGGAGCTCATTCGCAAAGAATTTGAACTTATGCACCTTGTTGGAGAATGAAAAATTAGACTATTAGATGGGATACACATTCTTATTCAAATTAGTAATGAAGAATATTACATGCGCTTATTTGCTAGAAAGATAATATGATTGATAACAGAACAATGAAGATTCTGAAATGGTCTGTGGGTTTTGACCCACAGACGGAAGGATTCGCCTCACCGGTTTGAATTTGTCTCATTGGTCTGAAATTTCATTATTTTTCTCAAAAAGTATTGTACTCTATTGCCTCAGTTTATGTGAAGCCACTCAAGATGGACATTCTTACTTTTAATTTGTCCCGTTCTTCTGAAGTCAGAGTACATGTTGAATAGTATAGAGACATCACTTCACCCGCTTCTGAAGAAATCTGGTTGGACACACAACACCATGGATATTGACAGAGATTGAACCTTGAACCTTTTCCGTCGTATTGTTCGAACTGTCATATGTTCGGACACTCCAGTTCTGAATGTCACCATCTACACCCCCAACTCAGACCAAAAAAGCAAACTACTCCGCTGGAGGCTGTGATTCCATCTCCTAATCAGCTCCCAGTTTTTGACACTATTGATCATCAGAAGAATACCCCGGACAACGTCACTATCCCCGCAGACAATATGACAACTATTCAGTCCCCAGTTGTAGCTCCCTCGTCTTTGAAACCTATTGTGGGGGAGAGGGATTTTCTTCAGACCCCGCCTCCCCTAGAACCTATCACTAATATACAGGTGGAAATACTTCTATTGCTTCACTACCGCCTCATCATGTCCAGAAAGATGTTAATATTACTCAGGCTCATGGGTATCAAGACGTGCAACGACCTACACCTGTCCGACCACCTTTGGAATCTACTGATCAGATGAGTCAATCATTAGATGAGGAATGATAAATCTACATATCCAGGAGGAAGAAGAAGAAATGATACTTTGGTTACTACGGGAAAGGGCAATGATACTCACCTTACCAATTTGTTAGCCGACTCACTTCCGAGAATTAGAGGCAGAAGGACTAAAGTGGGACGTCCGTAGCACTTTTGTGCCATTTTGTGGTTTTTTGGTTTTTACCTTCATGTATCTTTTCTTTATTTGGGTTTTGTGTGTTGTATTGTATGTCTTGGGCTTTCTTTTAAGCCCTCTCATATAACATTTCTGTATCTTTTCCGTATTAATATATTTTCCCTCGGGCTTTTTCTAATATATATATGAAGATACTCAAGTGGTCTCCTGATTTCGATCCAAATCATGAGACTCTTACTGTACCGGTATGGTTTAGTTTACATGGTCTCAAGCTGCATTTTTTTCACCATCAGGTTCTCTATTCTATTTGAGTTATCCTTGGGGATTATTTGAAGCTAGATCTACCAACTTTCAACCTAACCAGACCCTCAGTTAAAAAAAAGAACCCACCCCCCCCCCCCCCCCACCCAATTCAAAGGAACAGAGGGAACCTGTTCGATCCTGCGCTCTGCCTCATTCGTAGGTAAAGAAGGAAAGGGAGCCACGACAGAAACAGACCGAACAGCCACACCATTAGGCATTTGCGGTTGTTTCCTCCCATCTCCTTTCCTCAAATCAAGATTTAACTTGAAAGAATGTTTTTGATCATGTCCAAACATTAGACAATGTTTGCAATATGAAAGATGTTGCTCTAAACATACCTTTTACCAGTAACCAATATGCTCCGAACCAATCCAGACCTCATCAAGAGGAAGTAACGTGACATCCCTTTCGATTAAGACTCTAGCCATAGAGGGTCTTGTAAGATTATAAGTAGGAGCATCTAATTTCAACGGTCTCCCAAACATAGCCGCTAAAGAGAAAATAACTTCATGGTTAAAAAGATGGACTTTCAAATAAGGAAACCTAATCCAGACAGAAATAACCGGGGCCTCAACTTGAGGATCAAAATTCGAAGACCATTTTAACACCTGCATTCCAACGTTCTCAAACCAGACCATACGCCTAGCAAACAAACGAGTATAGGCTTCCTCATTTGCTAACTGAATCAAAATGTGTCTTCCATCCAGAGGGCCAATCTTCCAATCACCCATGAGCTTCATCAGCTCAAAGTGTTTTCTAAGAAATTCCAACTTAGGGACACCATAAATAAACTTTCCAACCAGACGTAAACGACAAGAAGTGAGTTCGACGTTCTCAGCGTCAGAGAGGAAGAGAGCAAGCTTCCCCCTTTTCGACCAGGACGGAGAACAAAAGAAGAAACAGAATCGAGCTCGAGATTCTCGTAGAAGACAAAGGGGAAGTTAGGAACATCATCAGCGGTGACGCTAGCGTAAGAGCGAGGCCTCTTACTAGTTTCACCACGACTGCCGACCGTGACGGCAGCTAACGAACGATATATATATATATATATATATATATATATATATATTGTCGTCTTCTCCCACTATCGGCTTTGCTAGGGTTTCAACTCATGGCAAACCCTAACAACTATTACGATGTTTCACATCAGATCCTCGCTGTGTCTTCTCCGTCTTAGTCGGCTCGCGTCGTTACTGCGTTTCGTTCTGCGTCTCGCTGTTTCAATTTTGACGCCGACAACTTTGCACGTTTGCGTCTGCGTTGTTTCTGCCTTGTTTGTTTCGACGCCAACAGCTGCATCACATTCTCCTCTCCCAACTTCTGAGTTTTTCTGGACTTTGTAGTAGGAAGCGCCGACAGCTTCACTTTCTTTCGCACATCGCCGCGATTATATCAAATCTTCTAGCAGGTTCCTGCTCTGATGATGCTTCCTCCTTATGAACCTGACAAAGCCTCCTTTGCGCACATAGTAAGAAATTCTCAGGTGGAGTCGACGGTTGTCTTTCCCTCAAGCCATAAGAATTGTCGTGATGGTAAAAGTGATTGCACTTTTGTTAAGAAGAAAAGTAAGAAAGCTGGGAAATCAACACTATTTTTCTCTAACTTAGAAATTTCAACCTTGACTGAAAAATTCAAGTTCGTTTCTGTTGGAAAATTTCAGTGGGGACACCCAACTATGGAAGTTATCAAAAAGATTGTTGATCTCAAACTAGTAAACAAGTGGAAAGTGGGACATACAGATAAGAGACATGTGTTGATTCAATTAAATGTGGCTGAAGACTACACCCGGATTTTTTCCAAAAAATATATTAATGTTACAGGCAAGTCAATGAAGTTACTCAAGTGGTCTTCTGATTTTGACCAAAATCATGAAACTCTCACTGCACCGGTATGGTTTAGGGTCTGTTTGGGGCAGCTGCAGCTTATCCAGCTTCTGCTGATAAGCAGCTTATCCTGATAATCTGCTGATGACCAGCTGATCCGGATAAGCTGTCTGACTGTTTGGTTAACGCGTCTGGAAAACAGCTGATTGTGAAAAATTGACCCTTTTGCCCCTGGTCTGAATAAGCAGTTCAGCTGTTTGGTTTGTGCGTTTTGTAAACAACTTATTTGTAAATTTTTTGAGTTGAATGAATAATCTGTGTGCAGAATGTTATTTTCTCAAATGTGTAGAAATGAAATTGCAAAAAAAGTTTAATAATATTTATATAACTCAAAAAGGTTATGATTACATCAACAAAACATATTGATATAAAGGAAAGTTCAATACACATTTCTGGATCTCTAATATGGATTATAGAAAGACCCCAAAAAAAAGAAGAAATAACACGTTAAAATTACAAGGAAAAATATGACAATATTAAGTTTAACATGTAAAGCCACATCATGACGAATGTTGCCCGTTTCTGATACCTCAGATCCCCGAGCAAGCGTGTCTGAATGGGGTGCGGTATACACGGAAGAACTCGAACCATATGCGGTGGTCTCCTGTTGTGGTACTCTCGAACTCCTAGTACCTGTGTCTAATTGGGATATCGTAGAAACAGTTGTATTGTCCGTCCACCTGAAAATTTTACAGTCTTCAGGTCCTTGTCCCCAACGCGGGCACCTGTAAAATTGCCTCCCGTAGCTACGTGCCTGGCGTGACGTTAACAGCAACGACGGTAGTCCGCAATGACACATCACTTTCTCGACCTTCCCGTAGTGTCTGGAACTCATTCTTCTGCATTTTAAAAAATAGAATCGATCAGTCCAAAAAATAAGGAAATGTAAAAAGTAAACTTACCAAAGTGTAGATCCAGAGATTGCTGACAACAAATTTACGTGGCCGTCCAAACTGCCCACTCAAAAACAGCAGTTGCACCCGACTTCCAATCTGCTTAGGTACAATGTGAAGATCCAAAATGTGATTTGAAAGATTTGAATGGAGTAAATGTAAAAAATAAGGTTTGGATGCTATGTATAAATTTGGGAAAACTAAAGCCTGCATTCCAAGCATTTTATATGCTGCTAACCACATAGTCACTGCTTAAGATTATCTACAAATGAGCGCATACTCGGTTCATATTAATATTCTTCATAACAGAATCACATAAAAAATTGATAAATAACAAGTAGATATCAATCATTGCAACCATCATGGATCCAAATAAAGCATATGAAAAAACTTCAAATACTTTCTACATTGTTGTTCTAAATTCGACGAGAAGGGAACTGCGTTGCAGATTATTGCTTGTGAAATTTCATTGCAGATATTTACAGAAAATCCGTGTTGTTCAATTGATGAAACCGGGCTGCCCTACAGAAGGGTACATAATAGGATCAAAGCTAGCATTTAAGGACACTTCTTATGTATTTACATATAGAACACCTAAACATTCCTTCATACATTTATACCACTCACATCTCTTACATAAGATAAAAATATCAACAGATAAAACGTACTATCAACAAGTACAATAAATTTTTTTTTTACTATCAAACACGCCATTTAGCAATAGTGGACCAAAATGTACAATAAAATATATACATATAAAACGAGATGTTCAACAAGGTAAAGTGCATGGATTTTAAACATAAATTTAAATAAAAGATTCGGAAGGAGATATAAATTCAACCTTGTTGAACCTTGTTGAACCTTGTTGAACCTTGTTAAATAGCTATGTTGAACCTTTCCCTTGTTGAACCTTGTCTGAAAACATAAATTCAATAAAAGATATAAAATGGCATAAATTTGAACCTTTCCTTCCAAAGTGCATGGATGCAGCTTTATTACCAGCTAAGTAAGATCACAAGCATGGGATAAGCTTTAGAATGTAATTTGCCAAACAAAACCCCATTTTATCTAACCAAGCTTTATAAAGCAACCATATAAATATTACCAAGCCATATAACAACTTCCATGAATCCAAGCTATGTAGGAACTTCCATGTATCCAATCACTTTAAACATATACAGCTATATGAAGAATGCTATTTATATCAAACATTCTGAACTCTGCTAGCCAAAACCGAGCGTAGCAGAGGCCAACGCAAAACCAAATAACCAACCAACAAGCTCACGGGTAGGACTAATAACAAAGGATATAAGCTCCCAAGCTACCTCTCGGGTAGAAGCTGGACCAGACAAAAAACCCAGCTCCTAACCAGAGCAAAACCGAACCTTCCCATAACTATAGAACATGGGCAAGAATAAACACCACAACAGGCTCTCGGGTAGAAGCTAAAACAAGCAAATCGAGTTCCCAAATCAAGCAGGGATAAATCCCTCAAGGTTAACAAATAAAGCTCACATACCCAAGACAAGATATCAATCCAGAACCCAGCCTCCAACTCTTCCAAGGTGAAAACTGACCCCCTATAGAGATCAAATCAAAGCTTTAAAGGCTAATCAAATGTAGTATATGTTAGCAAATCAAAACACAGCAATTCTTAGGTGAACCAAAAACCAGCAGGGGCTAAAAACGAAACTTTGAAAACTAGTAAAAGAGTTTCAAAACCTCAACGAAAGTCAAGACTCAAGCCTCAATAAAAATCAACATCCCTTGCTCCTGAAATGAAAACCCAGCACAAAAAAAAAACCAAAATCGAGCCATTCAAGACTAAAGAACATTCCCCGTGCCTTTAAAACATCATTATATTGAGCCAGAATGGATTTCAAACTATAACAATGTCATGGAAAGTATTGTTAGCCAACCAATATAATCTTAAACAAGCATGAGTCAACTTCCCTCAAACATCGAAGCATGAAAGATGCCCCCACTCCTCGAGGAGGCAAACCAAATTATTAAACGAGACTATTGAACCTTCTGATTAGGAAAAATTCCACAGCATTAAGCCTTTTTAACCCACATGAACTGAGAGCAAAGACCATAGAGCAAAGACCATCCACATGAACTGAGAGCAAAGACCATAGAATATTAGATCTCTCATCTAACCAAGCTTTATAGAGCTTCCATCTAAAGATAACCAAGCTATATAACAAATTCCATGGATCCAAGCTACAACAATCTTTCACAACAAAATTCAACACAAAACGACACGCCAAAGGAGCTTTATTTTCCCATGTATCATCAGCATTACTTTCCAAAACAGCAGCAGAGAAGAGCAAATTCCATAGCATTACTTCCGGATTTAAAAGTATTTGTTTGTATATATGCTTCAACTCTCATGTATATATGTATAGAAATACATATATATATGCCACCAAAACCAATTCTCGAGGAACCACCTCGAAGCCATGCCTTTAACTTCCTTCCAATACATCCATTTATTCAAGAATTAATATAGTTTCAGATGCATTGATTCAAGAAAACAAAGCAGTTAAACAGCATTCCAACATAACCATTCATGCTTCTATTGTGGCATCAATAGAGATAATTCTCAGAGATACTCAAAATTAGCCTTTTGTGTCCACCAGAAACCGGCAGAGAATGGGAACTCGACACAGACACACACACACACACAGACACACACACACACACACAAGAACACACACACACACACACAAACACAA